GTTCCTACGCCGCACCACCCCCACCCCATCCCTGTAAGATACACCACCACACAGATGGAGATTCATATAAACACTAGGCCAATTCGTCGTCTGAAAGCAACCGTGTACTAAACACACACGTACAACCTCATAAACATGACAACATGATGTAACAACACTAAATGTAATCATGTACTCACCTTGGCTGGCATTGTCTGATCTTCCTCTTAAACAAGTCTCGCTGTACAGATAGCACGGCAACCAGACCAACATAAACACTATTGTTGCTCCAGTCAAAATTCCCACTAACGTTGAATTCTGCAACTCAGATGCTTTGGTTGTCTGTAAATTCAAGGTCTTCTCCCATCGGTTGGCAGGGCCCCTGGGTGAGAATACCGTTCGGTTTCTAGATAGGTGTCTATGGCTGTGTCCTGAAGATGTTGGTGATGGCAGTGAAGCTGTTTCAAGGTTGTTTATCACTGTATCTTTGATATTCACTAAGGGATTAGGTTGTGGCAGGGAATTTGTGATGGAAACATCGCGGACATCTTTATGGTCAATGATGTTTCTGTGTTCTGCCTTACTTTTGTCTGCAAGCAACGAGAATGATATATTAATATGCCTAATAATAATAATATACCTAATAATAATAATAATAATAATAATAATAATAATAATAATAATATATTAAGGATAATAATGATGATGATGGTAATGAAATAATCATACATTTCACTTTAAGGCACAATACCACAAGACAAAGACAAAATGGAAACATAGAGTGGGTCTAGGAATACAAAAATGGGTGGAAAATCTTGGCCAATAAGACAAAATTACAGGGGTTTTTTTCTTTTTAACAAAGGAAGAATAAAAACTTGTGCAGACCAGGGGTGGCACCAGTGGCAACCTCCACTCCCCCGTTGGGGGAAAAACCACAATTTGTCGGGGAGAAAAACGTATATTCATTTTCTACATATTAATGGACTCCAAAATCGAAAAAATAAGCCTTCAAACCCCTAAATTGTCATATTCACCCCCCCACCCATGCTACGCTTTCGAGAGGTTTTGAGCGACGCCCGACCACGCCCACTTTCGTCGGAGACGGCACCCCCACCCCCGTCGGGGGCCTCGCGCCCCTGCCGGGGAAATTCTGGCGCCATAACTGTTGGAG